CCCCAAAACCCCAAAACCCCAAAACCCCGAATATCATGATATAAAATTAAAAAGATAGGTAAATAAATAGTTAAAATTTTGCTTGTATAATTTTTGGAAGTCTTTAAATACATAGCATAAGTTTAATCGAAATAATGCTAAAAATTTGATAATATTATTGATGATAAATTACATTACAAGTATAGCCATTCTATTTACAATTGCTGAGCTTTCCTCATTCTCCCAATAGCAAACATGCCTTAGCCAATTACCATTATTTTACAATCCAATTAGCACTGGTGCGACTCCTTTGCAGATTTTATATGAGGATGATCACGATTATATTTTCAGCTTTTATAAGAATAATAATGATTTGGATGCATATTGGTCTACTGGCAACGGGATTTTGAGAGGTGCTCTTAGGCTTTCTCCAGGACCAGCATCTTTTAGTCATGCTATTTTATCTAAAAGCTATAGCTACATCATTTTTGGAGGATCAAGCATTGGAATAATGCGTGTCTCCTTCAGTTCTTTCACATTGAATGCTTTGCAAAATTATAATGTAACTCAAGATTAGAACTAAAATTAATTTATTCCCGTATCGCTACGTGAGAATTATAAAGTTATATTCTTGAGCTATTCAAATGCAGGAGTTCATTTGCTAAAGGTCACTTACTTCGGTCCTAATGTAGTCGAATGGATAAAAAGAATAGATGGATTAGCTGAAAGTTTCTATTCAATACACTTTGACGTAAGTCCATTTTATGATTTTGCATATTGGGCGCAACCTATCTCAACAAGCAGTAATTATCACTTATGGAAAATTAATATCATTGATGGGACTTTTCTATAAGGATTCTCGTATTCTAATGTAAACTACCCTGCAGAGTCAGATTCATTTTTATATAAAACTTCATTGAGTGCTTCAGGTACTAATGTTTATTAAGCCAGTTGTCTATAGATGAAATCGGTATTGGTCTCTCCAAATGAATTTATAGGCATAATTTATGATGCCGAAAATGTTACTGTCTTCCAGAGCTGGGAAATCCAAAATCCATTGTATAGTACATATTGCAGTGACTTATACTTGGACAAGGCAAATAGCAAAATTACAGTAGTTATAGAAAATGTAGATTCTAATCTTGACATATTTGTTAGCTATATAGTAATAAATATAGGATCTAATGTGGCCTAGATTGGATAATTACTGGACACTAATTCAAATTAAAGGATAAAGCTTAAAGATGGATATATTACTGGAAGATAACAGTTATTCTAAGCTTATGCCACTGAATCCCTTATATTTTTATCAAGAATGACAGAATTTGACACATAAGTTTAGGGTAACATGCCATCTATGCTTTATAATTATCCGAAAACATTTTGCTCTGAACTGCTATTTTCTAAAACTGGAATCACTCTAACATCGGGCTCATTCCAAAAAGATTCTGATTTTACATACACATAAACTGCTTTATCTACTTTGACCAATGTTATTAAAAACTAGATTTCTTAAGTAACAGTTACTAATATTACATCTTTAGTAACGAGAGATACTACCCCATCAATATGTAACTATAGGGCAGATCCGCCAACAATAGTCCCTACATATTTCCAAGGCTATAATGAGTATTTGATTGGGAGTCCTGCTTTAATAGTTGAATTTCCACCTTATTAAGTAATCACCACTTGCCCAGAAAATCAAGTTTTATAGTATTAGTACTGGTCAAGTGGAAGTAACACAATTTCTTTAAGTCTTTATTACCATGAGTCAACGAGAAGATTTATGAAATACTAATTCAATGATACTAAAAAAAATGGAACTTATATATATTTCTACCAGATTAGTTTGCTAGATGGTACAAATATGTACACTGGAAATTTCAAAATCAATTTTACTCTTCCAGTTGTGCAACAAAATCAATCTACAAATCTAAGTAATTCAACTAATTCATCATTACTAGTAGAAATTTCTCCTCCTTATTTTACATCTTCGTTGTAAGTGATTACAGTATATAGTCTTGGAACATAAACATCAATTCTTCCTAATGCTTGAGATGATGAAGGAGATTCATTCTCACTTTCGCTTTCAACTTAATAAGCAAACCAATAATCATTCTGTAAATTAGAAAAATTGTAAATTATTTGTTAGCCAGACAATTAAGTTTTGATAGGCACTTACGAATTCTTGATTACTATCATTGAAGATACATTGTATAAATTGTAGAGTTCTTACATACTCGAAGTTAACGTAATAGAACAAAAAGCAATAAATCCACAGATTGATTAAGAAGTGATACAAGAATTAAATCCTGATCAATAATACATAATATAATAGACAAAAGACAAAAATTAAACAAATAAACTGAAGCTTCGAATTTTAAAAACTACTTAAACGGGAGAAATATAATGTTCTTTTAATTAGCCGGTTTATCAAGTTCTAAACATGAGCAATATAGATTTCTAGAAATCAATAAAGTTAACTTACTACCATTTGGACAAAATAAACACGAAAATTCTAGAGTCTTTTCAAATAATTTCCCTAATGAATGAAGAAATGATTATAAAAGTAACTTTTGCTGACTCTGACATTGTTTCTTAAGGCCTCTATTATGATTATATCCAGATTGAGATTCTTGAAGGAAGCTTTTTTGTCTCGCAATTCCATAGTATAAGTATAGAAAAAGGATACATTACGAACAAAATTTTTATCCCTCTTCAAATAAGTAACGATCAAAGGGATGAAGTACATTAAACAGCCAACATTTTAACAAGCACAATGACAGCAGTATTTTTTTCAAGTATCATTATAAACATGTTTTTCACATTCAGTCTATCTTTTTTATGGGGTATGATAAATGCTTTACAATTAGTAACTTATCTGCCTATGTTTAACCTTAAATTTCCTTCAAACCTGCATTTATTTTTCAATTTAATCTTTGATATTGTCAACTTTGATTTGATTGATGTTGATATGATTAATAAGTTCATATTTGGGCTTGATAATGTAACACCATTTTCCTAAGATGGTTTCTCAGAGTCATTTGATTTAATGGGATATGAAACTTATGATTTTATTGATAACTTGTAAATGAGCTACAATATAATTATCTTTTATTTGATAGTTTTAATTCTAATTCAGATCTTGAAATATTTCTATAAAAAACAGTTCATCAAAACCCTAAATTTTATTCTAATTAAAATTTTTATGTTCAGTTTTTTTATTAGATTAATTTTGGAGAGTTTTTTGTAATTTGGAATTTGCTTTTGTCTTGAAATTATATAGATAATTAATGATTCAACCATAATAAATTACACAAGTGTTATATCTGCATTTGCTTTAGGATTAATTATGATACTTTCACCAGTTATAATTCTAACTTTTATATTCATTAAGTTCAAATATAAACGATAATTTAGTAGTACTTAAAGTTTATTTGAAGGATTGAAAGATGATATTTCGTTAGCATAATCTTACAATTTGTTTTTTGTGCTCAGAAGAATTATTATAATTGTTATGATATTTGCCCTTGTAGATTATCCTAGTTTTTAAATTATCGCAAGTATTTTAGCTAGCTTTCTTCAGATAGTCTATTTGATAAAGATTAAACCATTTGACTCAAATGAATAAAACTAAACTGAACTATTCAACGAATGTACTGTGCTACTTACTATTTCTATCTCGACATAATTTATAGATTAAATCGATTAAAATCATATCAAAACTGATGCTGGATGGATAATCATTTATCTGATTATTTTTAACTTTTCAATAAATGTGCTGATGATTTTTAAAGAAACTCTCAAGTAATTTATCCGATATATTAGATATCTGAGACTAAGACTTAAAATTAGAAAATAAATAAAGAAAAGAGTTGTCAAAATATAGAAAAACATTGAAACTATCAATGAAAATCAAAATGAAGAAACATAGTCAGGTTTCAGTAGCCATAGAACTTTGATTAATAGCAGAAGAAAGAATAGCAATCTGGAGGTAATTTAAGAAGAATTTATTGATCGAAAAGAAGTTTCCTTAAGAGAAATGGATACAGAGGATAACAATAGTGCAGCTTTTGGAGTTTCTCCAAGAAATCCAAGTCACTCATTTAGAATTGACAGAAACGACTTGAGTCTTGCTTCAAAAAGAAGAAGTAGCAATTTCAACAAAAGTTTATTCTTCTAAAAACCCCAAAATGTTGTAATACCTACCAGATAGGTAAGACAAAGATCATAATCGACACAAATGCTAGCAAAGGATTTCTAGGCAAAATTTCTCAAATACTAAAGTAACTTTGTAAATATCTGAGTTAAATATAAAGGTTGATTTTTAAAGAATAAAATAAAATGATATAATAATGATTGATTAATACGATTTAAAATCTTCGTTAAATCTTGACTAGAGGGGTTTTGGGGTTTTGGGGTTTTGGGG